TTCCGAACCCAACTTAAAATAAACCCTATTTAATTATTTGTATTAAATAGGGGAACTTGTCGGCAAATAAAATGGTTTCGCAGACCCAAACGGACGTCATATCTTTCTTAGTTTATTTGATCGAGCTTCATCCTCAGGTCTTGTGTTTATTCTTCGGGGTAGATACAGGATTTGAGGTAGAGCGCTCTTTCATTTAAACTGTGAAAAATATGAGGTCAGTTTGATTTCGTATTTTTCTAAAATTATATATATGTAAATTAAAAAGTCCTTCCGAAGCGGGTGACGGGATTTCGATTCCGGCGACCGACAGCTTCTTACGGGCGACCCCCAAACGTAACTCCCCCCTTTTTAAACGCCGACAGCCACCTCATTGATCTATGTGCTCATGAAATCAATCCCCACAATTTATGGTTAGATTTGCTCCATGTAATGTCGCCTCACCAATTCGTATGCTCATGAATGCTATCTCACAGTGTGCATGAATTTATTATAATTAATTGCAAAGCAAAGTTTCTTTTTCTAATTATGTATACTCCTCATTATGTCATCCTCTTAGCTCATAAAACCAGATAACGAAGGAGCTCAGAAAACTTACAATCCTGTTAGTAGCTTGATAGAATCATAGAAGAACCACTGCAAAGTCACAACTGGTCCTACAAGAGCAATCCGAATAGGAAGGCTCCTTGTAAACAGTTTTGGAAACCCAATACTCTTAGCCGCCTACAGTATGAGAATTTTCGGAGCATTTATTAATCCTTAAGCTGAATTGATGAACTTTGTAATAGATAAAAAAAATGATTTACATAAATACCACTCAATTTCTATGTACTTACGTAACTAACAGCTAAACCTCAATTTTCACATACATGCCACCTTACCTAAGCATGAAAAGGTTCATTTCACCTTCTAAAAGTTCAAATAGTAGAATTTTTTATGTGATATAAAAGATTTGGATGGCATAAATGTAAAAATTAAAGCTTAGGTATTAGACATGTAAATACATAAAGAATTGGGTGGTATGTATGTAGATGCCGCTAGATAAAATTAATAGGGCATCACCTGCAGTACATTCTGCGCCTTTTTGTTGTAAAGCGAGGCAATTATGTTATCTGCTGGAGTTGAAACTATGGTACCAATAGCCCCAGATGTGTAACCAGCTATACATGTAATGCCAAGTTGTTGAGCTCTTGAACATTCCTCCCTCTTCTTCTGGATTATTTTGCGATACAAAAGATCCACGGAATGCTCAAATGTTGAAAACATGAGCATAGAAACTGCAAAAAATTTAATCTTTGGTAGATTTTATGTAATATTATTTAGAGGGGATTTACATACAAACCACTTAATTCCCGTGTTTACATATCTAACACCTAAACATTGCTTCTTAAATGTTACCACCCAAAATTTTCGTATCACATCAAAAATGCCCCCATTTTAACTTTAAAAATGTAAAATACACCTTTTCATGCATAGGTAAGGTGGTATGTATGTAAAAATTGAAGTTTAGGAAATTGATAGGTAAGGTGGTATGTATGTAAAAATTGAAGTTTAGGTGTTAGATATGTAAATACTTGGGAATTGAGAGGTATGTATGTAAATCTTCCTCGTATTTAACAACAGCCAAATAGGAAAGAGGAATGTTAGGTGGACGAACGAAGAGGAATACTCTGCATGAAATTATTATTAAATTTTAAAAGAAATGGCCATGGATTGCATTCCAAAATTACTTGAGATACAAAGCAAAAAAAAAAAATGATCAAACAAGAAAGCAAGTCTCACTTAAGGCAGACAAACCAAAACAACAAAATCAACTAAAGGTAGACAAACCAAAACAACAAAATCAACAGACAAACAAAAACTTGCTAGTGAAATTTAATATCTCGTTGAATGATGAAAGGATCCTAAAAAAAATTTAAAAAAAAAGGGTGGCATAGTAATAAAAAATGAAAAAAGAGTTCCATTCTAACTAATTGTGATCACTCAAAAAAAAAAAATCAAATTTCTCTTTGCAGAAATGAAGAAAAAGGAGTCCAAACAAACCAATACAAGAAGTCATAAAAGCTGGAAATCATAATACATCAACTTCATATTCTTAACATCATTTTTTTTTCATTTTTTCCAACCAACCCTGCAATTACAAATAAATGGTAAAATAACATGTGCTGGTAAGTGCAATTACATGGAAGATTTCGAGCCCAAAGTGGACCAAGTCCCTTATAGAAGCTGCATCAACATGAAAGAATTATTATACTTAATATGTAAGCATAAAAGTACAACTTAAAACTGCAAAAATATTACTTTTACAACCAACATACAGATTAAGCTTGAACACGAACAAATTTGACAAAGAAAGCAGAGCAATCCTCACCCAGAGAAGCCTTCGTAGGCATACAGTTTTGGTATTCCATCAACCAAGCCACGAGCAAAATAAGGTTGAGTTTGGACGCGGACTTTGACGGCTTCGAAGGGACAAAGAGCGATATCTGCCAATATTTGAGCAGAAGCACTGCTGATGAAGAAGATCATTGTTTGATTATCCGATATCATTAAATCCGTATACATTTTCTTGAAGTACTCGTAAAGCCCAAATTTGCAGCCACCTTGAGCCCCATATCCAAATAATTTTCCAGACCAGCCTCTCCAAAGAGATGAAGGGCCTTGTTCTTTTACTAAAATATTAAAGCCCGAAAATATGCTATTATATTTCACAGGATTTACCTAGAAGAATCAAACAGGTTGTCAATCCAAATTCACAATAGAATACATTCTGAAGGTTAGATAGCTAAACAAAATGATGATATTTATTTTTGTTAGAATAGAACAAAGGTGAATCTTATTGATGCAAAGAGGGATATAAATATTCATTACAGAATCTACTAGTAAGGAAACAAATAAAAACATAATAAAGGAAAAAAAGGAAAGTAAATAAAAGCAAATTAAAGCAATTAATACAAAATTCTACATAATAATATTCTAATATTCTAATACCCCCCCTCAAGTTGAAGCATAGATGTCAGTCATGTTCAACTTGGATTTGAAATCATTGAATAGTGGCCGATAAAGGTTCTTTGTGAGAATATCAGTCAGCTAGCCACTGGATGACACAAAAGGAACACAAATTTTTCCGGATTCGAGTATTTCCTTAATGAAGTAAAAGTCAATCTCAAGATGCTTGGTGCGATCACGCTAGACCGGATTGTAAGCAATGCTAATAACAACTTTGTTATCACTAACAACAGTAGGGTAGCAGAGACTGTCATAAGTAGTTTGTGGAGCATGATGCGTAATCGAAAAGCTTCACAAATTCCCAAGGTACTGTATTGGGAACATCAATAACTTTTCGATTAGGATCCATCAGGACAACCACTGGTTTGCACTAGATAAGATTGTTCTCTGTCAAAAGGTCAATCAAATATTTCTGTTGGGACAGACAAATACCCTGAGATGACCGAGCAACTTCCATGCCTAAGAAGTACCAGAAAGATCCCAAGTCCTTCATTTCAAAGGAAACAACAAGAATGCTTTTCCAAGTGCCCAATGCTAGTAGATTATTGCCTGTAAGAACAATATCATCAACATAGACAAAAATATAGTTACTTGGTTGCTGGAGGAATGTCGGAAGAAGAGTGTGTGGTCTGATTGAGACTGAGTGAATCTATGGCCTACCACCATCTTTGTGAATTTCTCGAACCATGCCTGTGGTGATTGCTTCAATCCATAGATGGATTTATACTTGCCCCTGAGAGACAGTAAAGTCAAAGCCCGGAAGAAGAGTCATGTATACCTTTACTATAAGATGTTATTCAGGAAAAAAGTCCTGGCATCAAGCTGGAATAAGGGTCAATCCAAATTTAGAGGGGAACATCCATAGGAGTAGGGTAATGAATAGTGTCCAAGAACTCTAGCTCCCCCTCAATGGAGGCAAGAGTTAGGAAAGTTGAGAACACTTTAAAAAAAGAAGACATCAACATTCACATAGACCTTATTTGTGGTAAGATCAAGACAACGATACCCCATTTGAGTGGCAGAGTATCCATGTAAAACACAATTATGGATTTGGTATCAATTTTAATTTGAGTTTGGGTCATGTTACAAACAAAGACTGTCCACCTAGAAATTTTGGGATCTAAAGTGGAGATGACCTTATTGTTAAGAAAACATGGTCTCAAGACGACAGAAGGGGTGCAAAAGTTAAAAATTTCTGAGGGAACTCTATCAATGAGATAAGTGACACTAAGAATGACATCATTCCATAAACGTTTTGAAGCATTATAGTGAAATATAATGGAGCAAGTAATGCCAATAAGATGTCAGTTTTTCCTCTTGACTACCCCATTTTATTGATAAGTGTCGTTACACGAGCTATGATGGAGGATGCCCTTATCAAAAATTTTACTGATAGTGTTAAAAAATTCACGACCATTGTTAATTCAAAGAACTTGAATAGAAGTTTTGAATTTGGTCAAAATGAATGTGTGAAGGATTTTGAAAGTGACAACAACTTCAAATTTCTCTTTTAAAATATAGACTCATGTCGTCTGAGTGTGGTCATCAATCAAAGAAAGGAACTACTGTTTATTGGTGTATCTAGGAGTGCGAGAGGATTCTCATAAGTCACTATGAATAAGATAAAAATGAGCGAAAGGTGTATAATTATGGGGTGGATAAGAAATATGATAATGTTTAGCTGACAGATTTCACATTTAAATTAGAACGATTTTTATTAGTAAATATCAACATATACAATTATTTTTAGATATTGGAAACTATGATAAAACAAACGACAGTATAACAACATATCGGGACATTCAGTGGATTGAGATAAACAACAACTACTGGGTGGAGTGTCCTCGTTCTTCATATTTTGCTCTTGGAAGAAGTAGAGTCCGTCTATCCACTTAGCAGTTCCAATCAACCTTCCCGAACGACGATCTTGAAAGACGCAAGCATTAAAAAAAATGAGTAACGCATGTCATGTTTCAATTTACTGATAGATAAAATGTTACACTTCAGTAGAGTACATGTAACATAGATTATAGAGTTAGACTTGTTAAAACAACAGATCCTTTATCAACAATAGAACTTTGGGACTAATCAGCAATATTAATAGCGTCTTTTTTCCCTAAGCAAGGAAAATATGTCGAAAAGGCTTAAGAGCTTCTAGTCATGCGGTTAGTTGCACCTGAATCAATGATTCATAGACTAGAAGGAGCAAAATAATGAGTGTCATAGGATTGGTACCTTGACGAACATGAACGGTCGACGGGCTAGAAGAGGGCAGCCTGGATCAAAGCAGCTTGATTAAGTGCTCCATTTGATTTTTAAGAAAATTAGAGGATTCCAGATTTTTCTGGAAAGAGGTCGGTTGTACCGTATTGGATTTAAATGTCGTAGTAAGACCCTTGACAGTGGAAGATTTGACCAAAGGTTTGGATGCAGGTTTCCCGTGAAAGCTTCCAATACTTATCACAAGTGTGGTTGGGTCTGTGACAAAAATTACAAGTGGGTTAACCAACCCAGGGTTGAGCACCACTAGAAACCGAGGCGGATGCTTCGACAGACGGAGTGGAGGTACCAAGCATGACAAGTCTCCAGCTCTTTTCGCGACGAATCTTAGTGAAAGCAGCACGAGTAAAAGAAAGAGAATCCTAACCAAAGATACGACCGCAGACTCCGTTAAGATTTTTGTTGAGACTTGCAACAAATTAGAACATGCGGTCATTTTCTGTAATTTTTAGAAGAGATATAGGTGGATATTCCTAAGCGTAGTCATAACACAAGTCGCATTCCATCCATAATACAACTAGATCATTGTAGTATTGGGTTACGGTCCTCGATCCTTGTATTGCCTCACGAATTTTCTTAAATACCTCATAAAGTTGGTTGAAATTACCTACATTTGAGTAGGTATCACATATTGTTGTCCAGAGCGCACATGTGGAAGGAAAAAAACATATATGATCGATCAATAGAAGAAGTCTCCATAGAGTTGATCAGCCACGATATGATCATAGAATTCTCCACTTCCAATACTCCATATGCTGGGTTAGTTTTTGGAGGTTCATGAATCACACAAGTGAAATGACTGAATCTCCCATGCCTTTTCATCAATAAGGACATTGGTTGGAACCATTGGAGAAAGTTATTATTGTTTAGTTTACGGGTTGTAATCAAGAAGTTCATGTTATTTTTTTGTCCACCGGTCTGCAGAGGAACAAAGGCGGGAATTGATCCTTCGGTGGAATTAAGAACATCTTTTGATGAAGGCAAAATGCTGGAGGAGTCCACCGTGACTCCAATTGAGCCAAATGAGATGTTAGGTTATCGAAACAACGTAAAGTTCCGACTGCTGGAGGAAATGGACTCTGGATCCTACTGGATTTGGCCGATTGGAGGGAGGTTCGAGGAGAGGCACCGCCAAACCTGTAGGAGAGGATGAAATTGCCCCCACTAAATTATGGTATTCTCCTTCTAAGGGTGGGTGTATTTCATCATTAGTCCCCCATCAACAATCTAGCTTGCCCCCTATTCAAGCTCTGCTTTTAATCACACTTATTAAGATTTTATAAATGGTCGAATTGATTAAATTTTTATAATGCTACTTCATAAATCAAAATAATGCAAATTAGTTCATGCATTAAAATTTTTATTAAAAAAAATATTTTTGTTTTCATTTCAAACGTTAGACAGCCTCTTATGCCCACAATTTCGTTAAGCAAACTTAATTCTATTTGCACGTGTGAATAATAAAGAGGAAGAAAAGAATGCTACTTTCCAACGTGGGATTACACTTTTTCCATTTGTGAAAAAAAATTGCAATTGCTTCACACAGACCACCGAAACCTCTCTCTGCCTGTTGTTGTTTAACTTTTCATAAATATACATACGTACCATTCAATTCCTATGTATGGTACAAATCTAACACCTAAACTTCAATATTTACATACGTACACATCTTAACTATGCATTAAAAGGTGTATTTCACTTTTTTAAAACATTGGTATCACATATACAAAAATATTAGCATCTTTAATGTGATATGAAATTTGGTTGGTATAGCATAAAAAGTAAAGTTTATATGTTAGACATGTACATACACAAGAACTTTACGGAATATATGTAAACGCCCCTTTGTTAAAAAAAAATAGTTTGTATGCTTCTAACGTATATTTGTATTAAACGACTTTTTTTTATTGGTGATATTTGAGCTAAAAAAAATGAGGTAAAATTATAGTTAGCCTGAATATATAAATTTATTTATTAATTATTTTGCATAAAATTAATTATTAGTTTTTTTAAATATTTTTTTTGTAATTAGTGCAAGCTTCATATGAGACTATAATTAATTTATCTTTTATAATAAGTTTGCCCCCCTAAAAAATAATATCAATTCCTCCCCTGTGACAAATACTTATAAAATCATTTATAATGGGGTCATGCTTAGCGTCTTCTACTAGTCTACAAAACAAAGATCTATATGGTTACTCTAAGAATAAAGAAATTTGCCCTGAAAATTTAACTAGAAAATTTTATGCTTATTGTCAACAAAAATAATTGAGATAGACCAGACATTAGCTTATTATCAACAAAAACTTTTATGCTTCTAGTAGATCAAAAAATTAAAAGTGTAAGCAAGGAAGATACTTTAGTGGTATTGAAGAGAATATTGATAAGAATAACAAAAATCAAGAAAAATAAGAGAAATTTTCTAGTGATACAAAGCTAATAATGATTATTTCTATTTTTCAAAACAAATCATAAAAAAGTCAATGCTCAATGCTCATGGTGACTCCCGACTCCCAAAAAAAAAAAAAAATCTTAGAAGAATATAGTAGATAGGACTATAATAATGGCTAATGTGATAAGTAATCACCAAATAACTAGTTGAGCATCATATGTGACGTAGCACTTTATGGTTATTCATGAAACTTTTCATTCATCAACATTCTATGCAAAAATAGAACAAAATTCTTGTTCATAACTTGATATTCTGATAAGTTATTCTTTGAAATATGATCTTCCTTCTTTATTTAAATTTTTTATAGGTAGAAGATTTTTCTTCTCCTTTTAATATTACCATAACAATTACTCTTAAGCTTATATACCTCTGATTTCAGAAAAAAAAATTATTTTGATCAATAAAATGACATTCAAAACTCAGCTAGAAACTCATACAAAGGATTCAGATACATTCCATCAAATTAATCCCTATCGTGAATAAATAAATACTCCAGCCTATCACAGAGCAACCCTTCTAAGTTCCAACCTACTGAAATTCAACCCTAATTAAAACAAAAGAAAAGCAATGGTGAAAACCTAACTCTAGCAAGGCTCAGTCGAAGCAAGAATCGCAAGAAAAAAAGAACTCGCAGAAGCTGCTCACCTGCATGTTAACCTTGAGAACATCGAGTGGGGTGATTGCTAGATGCGTCGTTCCAGCGCTTAGCATTCCACCAAATGCGCAGACAGCGTAGTATTCTTGCGAGAAGACAGTTAGCCCCCTCCGCCGCCTCTTCTCCTCTCCTCCTTCCATCGATCAATCTCAGCTCGAAGCTCCTCCACACACACACACAGAGGACTGCTTTTAGGGTTTAGGGTTTAGGATTCATTGCCCTTCTAGCTCGTTTCTTCCGAGCGGAGAGGAATCGGCCACGTTCGCATTGTCGAAATGGAGGAAGAAGAGGCTTATTGTAAAACCTTCACAAAACCTTTGGAGTTGGAGGCTGTGGGTGACGTGAATTCTCCAAATTACCCTTCTTTTCCGCAACGGACCAGAATTTTAATAACTACAATAACGGCTGATTTAAATTTTATTATTGTTATTTTATTTTGAAAATTTTTGCGTATTTATAATACTTTGATATCATAAATTTATGCATGTAAATTTTTAAAAAGTAAATAATAATATTTTTACATGGGTATATATTTGTGTTTTTTGGTTTATATATATATATATATATATATATATATATAGGGTTTAGGGTTTAGGTGTCAATATGTACTAATATAAAAAAAAATTGTGGTATGTAAGGGTATGTTTGGGGCAGCTGCAACTTTTCAGCTTTAATTGTGTTGTCTCAGGAAATCGACACAGAAAAACTGGTTGTTTATTTGTTGTAGTTTTGTGAAAAAAATTTGTGGTATATAAAGTTATGTTTGGGGCAGCTGCAATTTTTCAGCTTCAATTGTGTTGTCTCAGGAAACCGACACAGGAAAGCTGGTTGTTTATTTGTTGCAGCTATGTGAAAACAGCTGTGACACAACTGTTTTTGAAAAAGTGATCATCATGTCTCTGTGTAGTATTGTTATATATAAAAAATATAAATTAATTTTTTTATTAAATAAATTATTTCTTAAGCAAAAAATTAATATTAATTAATAATTTATTAATTTAGAAAACTTATATTTTTATCAAATAATTTAAATTTTTAAAAATATGTTTATTAATTAATGAATTAATCATGAAATAATAATACATAAATTTAGCTAATTATGATTAATTTGAAAATATATGAATTAAAATTAATTATTAATCAATTAAATCAATAAAATTAAAACAAACAAAAATAAATTAAAATCATAAATCCATCTCCCCCTTACCCTGTCCTGTGTGCCCAAAACCATGGCCTTAGTGAATGAACCCTCACAATACAATCACGATCAGAGCGTTGGGGAGGCAACGACGGGATGTCGGTGTATAAAGACCATCGAAACTTTCATCTCTCTCATCTCGAACAGAACCTATTGAGGAAGGTAAACCTACTCGCCATTCTTCCTCTTCGCTCAAACAAGGATGGCTTCATCGAGAGGAGCACGAGGCTTCGGACATCGAACAGAGAGGAAGTGAATTAGCTTTAAGTCTCGTTGAACGGGGAGGGGTAACACGGGTAAATAAGCTTGCTCAAACACGGGCCGCGGTGTTCGATCCGCGGCTAGCATTTCTTCAAAACTATGCCCTGCCGTTATCCTCTAGCCAAGCCAAACGGCCACGATTCACGGCCACTCCCCGTGCGGCGCTCCTCGCGCTAAACTGAACCAAACGGACCCTAAGTAAACAAGAGAAAATAATATAGTAGACAAGGTTATTTACATGCATACCAAATATTTCTTATATATTTACATATCTAACATTTAAACATTAATATTGACATATATATCATTTAAATCCTTCAAATCACATCGAAAATACTATCATTATTAACTTCTAAGAAAATGAGACGCACATTCTCAGTCATTAAGAGTATAAATGTAAAAAATAAAATTCAAGTGTTAGATATACAAATAAAAGGCGCTGCTCATAAAACACCAACAGGATGAATTAAAAATTAAAAAAGCAGATAATGAAGCAAGTAAAAATCAAATGAGAAGTTTAATCTCACTTCAGTTTCTTTTTCTAAAAGAACTTCTCGTTCCAACACAAATAAAGATAATCAAATAAGAGGAATTAAAACTGTTCATGAATCCAAACCAAACCCCAAAATTCATCAAAAGCACACAGACATCACAACAATAAATTCATGCAGAAGTGCAGCAGAGACGGACCAAAAAGCCGCCATTATACCAGACATGATCAAAATTTCAGAAATCATCATCATCATCCTCCTCGGCAATGTGCTTCGCGAGCTCCTGCTCCTGCTGCTGCCTCTCCCTCCTCTTCTCCGCACTCTCCTTCTCCTTATGCGAATTAGGCGGGAACCTCAGCGCCTTCACTGCTTCATTATGCATGTTGAGGCAGAAGGCAATTCTTGAATGGAAAGCAATCTGAGGCTCATTCGTTGAATAAATGTCGCCCGTCTCCTTCGAAATCATCCATCCATTCGCGTGATCGATGGTCGCATCGATCGCGCCATCTCGAATCGCCTTCGCGACGATGCTCTCGGCATCGGCGACGGGATTGTCAGAGTGCAGCCGCAGCTTCTTCGCAACATCGGAGAGCGAGATTCGAGAGTAGGAGATGCTGATGTTGCGAAGTCCGGTTCGAATCACGTTGTGTCGGAGCCTCACGATTAGATTGTTGGTCCGATCGGAACTGAATGTGGTGGAAAATTTCTCCGCAACGGTTCTGAAGAGCTCGAGATCGCCGATCCTCACGGCCTACAACCAGAAATGAAAAATTTCAGAAGGTGGGGTGGGGATGAGGTTGTGGGATGGATGAGAAAATGAGAATGAGATGGTGACATTTGTGAGCTCGAAGTAGGGAGTGAGAGCCTTCTTCATTCCTTTCTGCATGAAAACAGTTCTCTCCGGGATTTCGCCGAGAAGTAATCGGACAATGACGGCCCATTTGTTGCATTGAATTCTGAAGCCTCGAGCGGCGACGGGGGCCTTACGAGCGGCTTGGAGGAGAGACTCTTTGGCGTCTGTGTACTCCAACTGAATGGTTCTTATTTTGCCCAGATAGAATAAATAGCGGCAAAACTGGGAAACAAAAATTATATGTAAAAGTTATCTGACTTTCAGCAGGTCAAAAATATGTATGAAAATAAATACTCGTAAGAATGGGGAAATTTACATGCATACCACACAAGTCTAATGTATTTACATATTGGTATTTACACTTGCACCTTGGTGTCATGAACCTTTGCGTGTAAATGTGTATTTACTTTTTAGTGAGTGTGATATTTTTTATGTAATGTTAAAATTTTCGAGTGATGTGCGCACCGCGTGTGTGCACACACACGCACACGCGCGCACACACACACACATATATATATATATATATATAATATATATATATATGTTTATAGAGAGAAAGAGAGAGAGAGAGAGATGGACAACATGCATTTGTCTACCTCAAATGTGCTAATTCGACCCAGATAGATTCAAACCCGGGACCGAGGAGATTTACACCAAAGTTGCTAACCAACAGGCCACAAGTTGCGCATATATATATA